TGAGGCCATGGGTCATTGCATTAATTAACATTTTCCCCTCGGCCCAATCGATTCAATCCCGAAGGAAGCTGGGACAAACACTTAATGGGAAAATCGTTTTCTAGAAATACCCTAGTTTACATATCCCGTGCAACTTGCTCATCCACTATGGATAATGGAGAATAATGGATTCATAGAAAATGTGACATGATCGAGCCCATTCAGCCCTCCACCTCAATCCCGTCTACGAACATTGCACTTATGTTAATACATTCTACCGATTATGACAGAAAATTTATTCAATCCACGCCTCATGACTTAATCTGATTATGTTGGGATTATGTTGCACGCGCAATTTTACTCGGAATTGCAATTTCATCTCGACTTGAACTTTAAATAAGCCATTTTTAAGCCATTTTCTATTTTTTCCCCAAGCATAGTCGTTATTCTTCGTAATTGAAAGTTTCCGTATGCGTCCACTGATATTTTTCCGTTCTGTTAGTTTATGAGCAATAAATACTTGGAGTATTAAATTTAACGGGGAGACTTATAGACATGTCGATTATATCGGCGCAATTACTCTCGTAGGAAAAATAAAAAGTTGAAGTATCCGGAAATGATGACAAAAACCAGCTGTGTCTCTCCAGTGTTGGCTAGACAGTACCAGTCCCAGTGCATTGCGTCGCTTTCGTTAATTTCTTGACAAGTGATTCGCGATTGAATTTAGCACATGACATTCACCCCAAGTCATCAAGAGTAATGATTCAAGAATAATCAAGCATCAATCGTCAATATCGATACTGTGAATTATATAATTGTATCAGTGAATTTTAATGCTGAAAATTTCACCGATTTGATTATTTTACATGATAAACGCAAAATATATCAGATTATTGCGTCCAAGGAGATCAGTCTGCTATCGTGTATTCAAATCTCCCGATGAATCAATTCTTTATAACAAGAATTTGAAATTCATCAAATTATATTTATTCCTCAGTTTTATTTTCAGAAGCTCAAAAAAAAGAAAGCGTGAGAGATGGCGCCCCACGAAGATCACACTAGAGAGTTCCTTCTCGGAAGGATATCACAAGATGTCAACATCACCAATGATAATGATGCAACTGCCGTTCTCACAGCAAAAGCTGTGACTATGGTAGTTCTATGCACTGTCAGCATATGTGTGGGACTCATTCCAATCCAGATCAGCAGGTGTCTAAAATGGTCATCCTCGGAAGCTATGACGAATCCCAAGTAATACTCATCAACATTATTTGTTTACATCATTTCAAACTCTCCATTTTTCTCTTCAAATAATATGGAAAAATAATGATGAAAAATGGACGGCCGAAGTTTTTTTCGCCCGAGTCGAATAATTGGACCTGACAAGTTCTACTTAGGTCTTCCCGTTCACAAGTGGATAGGGCTTGGGAAGCCTCTTCCCAAGTGCTTCCCGAGACCTTTCTACCTCTGGTTATGTCCCATTTCAGCACTTGTTAGGTGTAAGCAGTACTTGTATTCAGATTTTCCAAATTCTTGCCGGTCCGCGTAATTCTACGGGCCTATATTAAATGTGCGTTCATATCCCTGTTTACTCATGCGTTATTGAAATAAAAAATGCAATTATTATTTTTTTTTTAATCTCGAAAATCGACATTTCACGAGAGGGTATAGGGGAGATGCATGTATGCGGAGGCTTGAAATTTTTACCCAACAAGGGGAGAAGGTTGCAGAATCTATTCTAGCCACTCTTATCCCTCCGCTTGCATGCATTGTCCAAATAAAAAATGAAATTGTTAATAAATCTAACCCTGTGGCCCCCGGTGAAAAAAATTTTTTTTCAGTTTTCACTTTTTTCACACACTTTCAAGAGTTCTGAATAGCCCATCGCTTAAATAGATGGAATCAACGTTTACCCGGCTGAAAAATTCGATTTTGGCGAAAGTCGACTTTCTCCCTGGAAAAACGGAAAATCTGACCCTTTGAAAATCTCGAAAAAAAACCTTTTTCAGTTTTCACTTTTTCCACATACTTTTGAGAGTTCTGGATAGCCCGTCGTTTAAATAGTGGGAATCAACGTTCACTCGGCTAAAAAATTCGATTTTAGCGAAAGTCGACTTTCCTTCTGGAAAAACTGAAAATCTGAAAAAAAAAACTTTTTCAGTTTTCACTTTTTTCAAATATGCATCTGATTTGATATTTTCCAGAAAAATTGCACACGGGGAAAAATTTTTCAGGGGATGTTTCGCAGGGAAAAAAATCCGGAACCGAAAAATGAATCAATTATCCATGATGAATATACTAATGAATTTGTGCAATTTCAGATCCTTCAAAATAGTTGGAATGCTCCTGGCATTTGGTGGAGGTGTTTTATTTTCAACAACATTTCTTCACATGTTACCAGAAGTGGAGGAACATGTGGGAAAACTCATTGCCGATGGTAGTTTGCCTACTGTCCAATTTCCACTCGCACAAATCTTCGTATGTACTGGGTAATTATTTAGCGCACTTCAGCGGCAGTAAATAGAAAATTGTAACATGTAGTCTATTAAATTCCAAGAACTGTTTTTATTGAGCAAAGAGATTTCCATTCCAATGAACCATAAAAAATCGATGAGCTATAGCGGCTTAACCCATCATTATTCATGACTCCCAAAATGCAAAAAAGTCGAATCTAATATTTTTCATCAAATTTTGAACAAAAAATGTCCTTCAACATTTCCTGTGCACCAAGATGTCCCTAATCGACTCGTTCATTTCCATCCCCTCTGATTAAATTACTCATCATGTATTCCAGATTTTTCATTATGTACTTGGTAGAAGAAATAGTTCACTCACGACTTCGTCGTCAAGAGAAGAAATGTGCCAAGCATATGGAGACGGATGTCAACCGAAGTACAAACGAATTAGTTGAAAATGGTCAGATAAGTTACTCTGCGAATGGGCACTCTCCCAAGTGAGTTGTAATGATTCAGTATGAGTTCTTTCAACTGTCCGATCCAACGTAATTCATTCCATTGAATTACTGTCAATTATTCACATGAACATCCTTTTATTCTTGCAGCTACGGTCACGGTCACAGCCACCTTCCAGCAGTTGTACTCGATGACAAGTCGAATTTCGTGTTGACTTCACTTAGAGGACTGCTGATCGTCCTGGGTCTCTCAGTTCATGAACTCTTCGAAGGCCTTGCCATTGGTCTTGAAAGTTCTGCCAATTACGTCTGGTAATAATTCGCAGCAAATTTATCGTCAGTTTTTGCTCCGTCATACGCGTGAATAATAACTAATGAGTTAATTAAATTGGAACTAGGTACATGTTCGCTGCTGTAGCCGTCCACAAATTCGTCATAGCATTCTGCATCGGCGTTGAACTAATAGCATCGAAAACGAATCGTTGGCTGAGCATCGCCTACGTATGTACATTCGCAATTGTATCACCATTGGGCATTGGAATAGGAATGCTTCTCACCGGAGGCGAACAAACAGTCACCAGTGGACCCCTTCCGGTTATCCTACAGGTACGTAATTATCACCAATTGTTGATTCAATTATGAGTACATAAAATGATTGTTCCGACCGTAGATTCTTTCTTCAAATTAATTATTTCTAGCCATCATTCTCGGTGAAATACTTCAACCAAAAATATCTCAAAAACGAAGAGAATAAAAAAACAACGTTTCGAATGCACTAGGCATTCCCCTTCAGGTGCATTTATTCAAATCTTACGAAAGTTCATAAGTCATTACGAAAACTTCGTTATTTCCCTTGGATTCGGAGATAATCCTGAAAAACTCAGCTGACATCCGAATCATTTGCTTGGTTTCAAGGGGACAATTAAAACGATCTGTCACACATAATTATAAGTAGTATGTGACGCAATAAAATGGTCTCTCTGTATTCTAGGGAATCGCCACTGGCACACTCCTCTACGTGGTCTTCTTTGAGATTCTCCAGCATCATCGCGATGGCATCCATCAGTACCTGTCAATTCTCTTTGGTTTCATCGTCATGTTCGGCCTTCAAATTGCAAGTACGTATTTGAAATGTTGAAAATGTCGGGAATTTCAGGATTGAAGATTTGAAAATTGCCGTCTTTAGTTGCATTTTATTCTCATGATGAATGGCTTGATTTTCTGTTGCTCGAATTCTCAAATGATCATGATTTCTTGAAAGGTCGAGCGTTCACTTTTTTGTCGTAAAAGTTTCACGAATTTCTTCTCAAATTTCCATCACATTTAGGCGAACAATGATTCCACGTTTATATGTGTAGAATTCCGATGCTGTAACTCGTTTCTCACTTTCATCTTTCGACCTTTTCAGTGTTTACCATCAAAGTCGTAATTTCTTGTCTACACGAGTGCTACGTAATACTTCACGTATTTCGTCTTGAAACACATGAAGTAAAGATGTTACAGTGCAAGTGATTCAACGCTAGACTTGATATGCAGTGATGAAACACAATCAATCTCAGACGTGTGAATTATTCCCCTTGCAATCAAAAGAATTCTGAGGGAAAACTTCAATTTTTATTCCACTTGCAGCAAATTATTGAACTCATTAAATTATCATAAGTGCGACATATCTCATCAACTCAGCTTCATCAAGCTCTCGCAGCAGTCAATGTTCATTCATCCCATCAATAATTCTCCCAATATGAATGAATCATTCGCGAAACCGACGGTGAATGACCATTGGACTGTAAAATTCGGGAGAAATGATATCGAACTGTCCAGAAATGTTATCTCTATGCAGTCATAAGACATGTCTGTTTGTCCAAGATATTCCTCGTACAATATGACTCCCGTATTTTTATCAATAACCCAAACACCAGTCTTAGTCAATTTGACCAATGTGCATGTCGACCGCTGGCGCATCTACGTCGAAAGCCAAGTTGTACTATCTAGCTCGCGTGGGTGGAAGAGAGGTACGAAAAGGGGATATTGAAGAAGGGGAGAAGGGAACTCGCGATTAGCCGCATAGATGTAAAGTCACGTGGAAGTAGCGTTTAGTGTGTGGTATAGAGTGTGGAATCGTGGAGTTGATGGGAGGGAGAGGGAGGTAAGACGGTGGGCGAGGGGATAGAACAACTACCCGAAGGCCCCCGTTCGAGGAGTATCCCGTTCGTTGTGCTGCGAGGACGTCAATTTTTTTTTCTCACTCGCCGGCTCTCCCATATCTTCAACTTGATTTTCACTTTTGATCTTTCGACTCCGTATGGAACAGCTGTATCAGTCGATTCCTCGACATTAAAATGCGGAAGAGAGCCCCGTCAAACAAATACAATGCACTGACGAGCTACTAAAATTTTTCAACACGTGTGAAAACAGATAATTTTTAAAAAAAAGTACGAAGATGGAATTGTGTCGGCATTGACTGGTAAATGCCATTGTGCAGTTAATTTCTCGGTGGAGTTGAAGACAGGAAGAGGATTCACTCGTGTGTCATGGGCGGACTTTAGACGGCAGAACGAAATAATGAATGGTACACGAATTTTCTTGGAAGAATAAGTGTCATGCACTAATGAACAATTGACATTGAACAATGTGAAATAGTGAGAGAGAATACAAATTGAACAATTGGAATTTGGAGTGTATTTAGGATCATGTGAAAGTCTGCAAACGATAACAAATATTTCCTCTGATAACAGACACTTTGTTTCTCCATCTCTGGTTACTGCAACAATTAACACTCGAACGATTTACGATTGGACATCGTTCGGGTCTATTGGACACTGATAGCACTATCGTTTCCAACAACCATAGTGGAAGAATGAACACAACGGACGGGTGACAATAGACAGTCAATAGTTCGACGTCTCAGTGCGGTGACAACAAGAAGATATGGAGAATTCCGAGTCATTGATACTTTCGAATCAAACAGCCCAGTCGTTATTGCTGGTTAAAATTGGGGCAATGTTTATTCTGGGACTGGGCTCGTTGGGATTGGGAATGTTACCACTTGCTGTTGGCCATTGTAGATTGAAGAGAAGACAAAAGTGTGCATTATCGAGTACGTCGAGTACATCGACTAACGCCTCATCGACAGTTGATACTTCGGCTCAAGTACGCTAAGAATTGTTTAAATTATTGATCCAGAGTTTCTTCAGCCATTCAGTGAGAGAATTCCAACGGAATGACAATTGATTTCATTGACGTTTTCAATTAACAGATGAAAAGTTTGTTGATACACGTAAAATATTCCTCAAATAAGAATGACTCTTGAATGAGGAATAAAATTCTCACGAAAAGCAAAACAAACTCATTTTTTATTGTAACGGAATTCATTTCCGTTACAATATTATTGATAAACCCCCCAGAATAATCTCAATTCTATTGATGCTCATTATCTAATCTCTAAGATAGAAATTGATTAAAAAAATATGACAGAAAAATAGACGTGTGCTGGAAGAAATTCTTGGTCTTGAAATTGATAACCCGTTGATTTATCAGAAACAAATATAACTCCCTACAAATAAATATTTCTAATCGAACCGATTATAAGCACTTATAGCACTTTTATTATGGCCGATTGTAAGCACTTTAATTATTATTTCTAATCGACTTTAGGGTTTGCTGACCTCCTTACTCCTCTGCTTCGGTGGAGGTGTTTTACTATTCACGACATTTCTCCATCTGGCCCCCGAGGTCCGCCAGAGTGTCGAGCGTCACCAGTTGAATGGGCAACTGTACACAATCGGCACCCTCAGCATGGCTGAGCTGCTATTCTGCATCGGTTTTTTCCTCGTTTATCTCGTGGAGGAGACGGTGCACGTCACGTTAACGAGTAAATCAGAGAGATCGGAGGATCTTTTGTACAGAACCGTGTCAATACGCAGATGTTGTAACAAACAGTTACCAACACCTGTCTCCATAACTACCATGTCTAGCACAGCTGACAAATCATGCTCATCCTCGTGGGAAGCAAGTGTCACTTGCAGACACGACGATGTGGAGAGAAGAGATATAAGTGGTCTTCCAGAATTGAAAAATCATCGCAGAAGAAGTAAAAACGAGCAAACATTGCCAGTTGTCTTTGTCCAGTCGTCAACGGATCCAATGACTGATGCTGGTCGCGAGGAGGATCGTTTCGTGGCACCTCAGAGCATTCCAGCATGTGCTGAACCCCACAAGGTTCATCATCACACGGACACATCGGCTCGAGGATTGCTCACAGTCGTAGCGTTATCCTTTCACGCGGTATTTGAGGGCCTCGCGGTGGGTCTAGAACCCGCTGTCACCTCTGTTGTCTATCTGACAGCAGCAATCGCCACACACAAACTCGTCATTGCTTTCTGCGTTGGCATGGAACTCTACGTAGCAGGGGCACCCAAGAAAACCATTCTTGGGTATCTCTCGGTTTTGTCCATGGTGACACCTCTGGGCATCATCATTGGAGTTGCTCTGGGGTATTTTAAGAATAATAGTGATGATAATCTTGGACCAATTCCTACTATACTTCAGGGGATGGCTGCTGGGACACTTCTTTATGTCGTATTCTTCGAAGTTCTGGCGAGAGAACGGGCTAATGATAAGAGTGGATTGCTACAATTGGTGGCGATAATCGTAGGATTTACGCTCATGCTCGGACTTCAATTACTTAGTGAGTTCTTTTGGGATTATTTGTGGGGATTCGTTCAATCACGGTTGAAAATTCACAAAAAAATCAATCGAAACTGTAAATTTCAGTTCAATTATTTCATGAAAGCGTATAGAAATCAGGAAGATTGAGCATTATTTGAAATCGAATATTCATGTTTCGATTGAAAATTCAAGTCAATCGGGACATTCTCGACCTCCTGTTGCGAAAAATTTGGAATTTCATTAAATTTTCAGTAAAATGAAAAATTCAATCATTTTTTGCTCCGAAAATCGCATTAATTGCACTCGCCTAAAAATTATATAGCAACCACCAATGAAATTTCATTTTTTTTGTCATAATAATTATTTATGTATTTCATCGTGAATTAATTGATTGGGCATGCAATTAATTTTTTTACATTCATGTCGTCTCTTCACTAGCGCGAATTACATAACCACCGACATTTGGAACAAATCGATCAGCCCCACCTCGACTACAAGAAGAGAAAAGTAAAAAGTAGTTGAATCTTGCACTCAAGGGGGCTAGAAACTTTACTCAGGGTCATATTTGATCCTGCTAAAAAGTCACGGTCACACGTGCATCGCGTGCGCCGAAATCATTCGATATTGATTATACAGTTGAGTTGATCGTAACACATATTTGAATGAAGCACTGAATTTTATTGTACTCCGACTGCAATGAGATTCAGTGCTCCGATCGAATTCATTATGTGACTATAATCATTTGTATAGTTGCAGTATTTATTTGCTTTGTGGAGAACTGAGAATGAGGCTGTTTTATGTGGGGTATGATTCTCCAGTTATTTGTTAGTTTGTTACGTGAGTTATCGATTCAACAACCCGTCAGAATGCCCCTCAATATCAGAAACGAAGGCGTACAATTACTTTGGCGCATGTAGACGTGTTTTCATAACCGTTTGCATCTAGAATATGAGTGAAATCTTATTATTCAATCTTGAATGGTCTCTGGAACAATAGTTTTAGAAGATATCATCACAAAAGACTAAAAAATGAATGAATAAATGTTGGAAGACTGTTTATTGTTGAAGAAATTTCTAAAATTTTCATGTCTAGATAATTCAGTCTTCAACTAAAAATGAAGAATTGACTTGTTCTGTTCGCATTACATGGACTCGAATTGTAAAATGAATTTTACAGTTTAGGCGTGCAATAATCTCCGAAAGAAGCGGTTTTGGGAGAGAATGTCGAAAGATTTCTAAAATTTCCACGTCAACACAATTCATTCGTCAACAAAAGTTGAAAAATTGACTCATTTTGTTCTGTTTAATTTTTTCACGGCAATGTTTGTTTAATAAATTCTCTCCAGAGATAACATCGACTCGAATTGTGAAATGAATTCAGTGTAATCGTGCAGTGGCCACGCACATGAAAAATGTGATTATAATCGTATGGTTGCTTTCTCTGCCAGTGGCATTGAATGCAGTCCCGAGGTCAATGGACCGATCGACTCATCGACCGACTTTCAATCAGCTTTCTTATCTACCTATGACCAATTCCAAATGAGATTCCTAACACTTCTCTCAGCTAGGGCTTTCCTCGGGGAGCAGTTGAGCTCGATTCCTCGAATTTCATTTTTCCAAACTTCAGGCAATAATACCCCGTGAGGAGTGAATGCTCTTCAGCACAGTTTTTTTTGATTGTTTGTTTATTCTATTTCAGCATCCCACGCTCATTCGCATAGTCATAGCCACGGACACTCGCATGGGCATTCCCACGAGGGTGAGGAAAGTCTCGAATCGGAACATCATCACGATCACGGCGATGGAGAACACGTACACGCCATCACCGATACAATCGATAGATTGTCTTCGACAGTGGCGGAAGCTGTGACTAAAGCTATCATGACTTCAAAAACTGAGTCATGAGTTCGCGACAAAACCGTTCATTGGTGAAATTATAAAACGAGACTTGTCAGTTCTGAAGAGTCTAATTTTTGTTAAGCATCCGAAAAATTGAAAAAAATGGCCAAATTTTAGAGAAGAATTTTCTCGAATTTAGGTTTAGGAATATTCATGAGAAAAGACTTGGCACTTCTCGTTTTATCTCTTTGTCACTGATGTGAAAATATTCCACGAATTTCAATTGCTTCAAGGACCTCCTGAAGTGTTTACTCATAGGCATTAGTTCCTAGGTACGAGACAAAGGATAATTTTTTCAGAAGAAAATAAGAATTGTTAAACCTGTACAGATTGTTATCGTCCTTCTAGGCAGCTGTGCTCATTTTTGTGACATAGTTCACCGCATTTATAGGTTTTAATTGACTCATTTCACGTTCATTGTGATAATGATCCTCCCCGGAGGATGCTGATTCATAGGCCCCGAGGAGTTAACATTAAGGACTAAAATATTTTTGTAATAGAACGATGTTTGAGGTGTATGAATTAGACTGACAATAGTAATGAACACATGCCTGGAGGGATTGCCCCGGGACTGTGTTCTATTGTACATAATGCATCAGTTGAAGTATTTTTCTTCCATCGTTAGTATATAACTTACAATATCTTTTATGAATACATCGGTATATTATTTATACTTTAATTATTCACTAGGGTAATTTTATTTTATGTTATTCACGCCATCGTTCAAACTATGAAAAATTAATTTCATGTGATCAACAAAAAAAGAAGTGAAAGTCTAGAGTTATTATCATAATTCTCCGAATGAATGAACATTTAATTCAAAGCCAATTTGATTTTTCAGTGAAATCGATCGAACCAAATCGATCAATTTGACCGTCCTGAATGCGCAAAAGTACAAATTGCAAGTACGAATGAAAATAAAAAAAAATCAATTGTACACAACAATAAAGAATTTTATTATTATAGTTCATAATAATTATGTTGTCGTCAATTTTTGATCTCATAAACACCTATCGTAATCGTTTGAGTTTATTACTTCTTAACGATCTGACTGTCCACGAATTCAAGATAGCTGTGACCAATTTTGACAGCAGCCAAGCCAGTGCCTAGACCAGCTATTGTGGACACTGTTGGATTAGATGGGATGATTGAGTGTAGTACTGCCCATATCAGAACAGAGCCGAAACTCAAGAGAAGTGCTCCAGTTATACTAGAAAGCAATCGACGTGAATAATTGGATATAGTAGTCAAATGAGTAGTAGAATTGAGTAAAATAAATTTTAAAATGAGGGCAAGTGCATGAGACAAAAGATGAAATTTTTATTTTTATTTCATCGATTTAATCGTTATTGTTAACGGTTTACTCGCTATTCATTGAAATGGGAATATTACTAAAATTATCTCTATAAAAGTGCATTGAAATTTATACTTTATAGAGAGAAGATGGGAAAGATGAAGGTGAATCCTGTAGGCAATGAGCTAATTTATGACCAAATTCAGGGCGGAAAAAACGTTCAACTGTGAAATTCCCAATGACACTGAACAATAATTGACAATTAATATTAGTTTAATTGACCATTCCCAATTGTATTTCATTCAAGTGTCCTTGATCAACCCCAGTTGCGCAAAATGCAACATTTCCCACGCTAAAATCCTCCAAAAATGCAAATATGCAAATATAAAAATTATCAAATTACATGAGAAAATAACATCTACCTATAAGTGATCCGAACCCCCATGGGTGCAACTTTCATGTGTTCCCTCGTATAGAGATACGATCCTGTCCCCAGCAGTGCACTTCCCAACAAATAGTTCGTGAGGTCCACCTTAGGGAACACTCTGCAAAAAAATCCCGACAAATAGGTTATGAAATTCTGAAAATATTGTAACCAACAGTAACCAACAACACGATTGCGTAATAGCAATCTCATGCGGTGACTTTCGGAGATGAAATGATGAATAAAAGAGTAACCCATCGACAAAATTTACCTCATAAGGAGATTAGGATTCATGACATTGACAGAGAGTCCCATGTAGGCTCCTACGCCAAAGGAAGGTGCGTAGAATTTGGCTAAACTACATTTTGTGATTGGACGAAGTCCAAATTTGCCAAGTGCCTTGCTGGTAGGTGAATCTCCAGAACCAGCCATTTCAGTATTTTATATTAGGAGTACCCGGTGATTTAACAATTCTAGATCATTCAAACAAATTATCGTCAGTTCTATAAATAACTGTACAAACCTCAATCGATAGTTGTTGAAAAACTAGTGATTTATTAATTACTTGAGTGATGATGAAATTGGAATGAACTTGTGGTTAGTCCTGACTGGATTTCACTGGTTGCGGAGCGAAGATTGAAGAATGGAGAAGAGCATGAACTCATAAACGAGCATAATTTTATACGGAGTTGTTGGATGGTGGCGCTGTTAAACGGTGGCACGAAAAATAGAACGGAGCCGGCTGGCACCGATGGAGATTGTTGTGGTGGATTTGTGTATGCAACGAGAGGATCATGTCACAATTGAATAATATGAAGAGAAAAAGAACGAATGGGGAGAGCCATTCTGAGGACGATGATGACAGTGAGTACATGAATTTTACCCATTGGATTCTAGTATTATTTCAAGTCATCTTGCATGCTTCATTCACAATTTTCAAGAGTATGAGGTTAGTTTCACATCCCAAATGACAGTGTTTTCCCTTAAAAAATTGAATTATTCATCATGATGCAGATAATTCGGATTTCACGTCGAATAAATCAGATCCCCCACGTCTCTGCCCCTACCTCGACACCATAAACCGACAATTTCTCGACTTTGATTTCGAAAAGTTGTGCTCAGTGTCTCTGTCTCGAATCAATGTGTACGCTTGTCTCGTTTGTGGAAAGTATTTCCAGGGAAGAGGGACAAATACACATGCGTACACCCACAGTGTTGCTGAGAGTCATCATGTCTTTTTGAACCTCCATACCTTGAAGTTTTATTGCCTGCCTGATAATTATCAAATTGTTGGTGAGTTGAGACTGTGGAGAGTCCAGTTTTCCTCACATTCCCTGAACTTTGGGTTTACTTTGATATTTTTTGTTCGATAGATTCATCTCTGGATGATATAAAGTATGTTCTGAATCCAACATTCAGTAAAACTCAGATTGCTCAGGTGGACAAGACAGATAAACTGTCGAGAGCCATTGATGGCTCCATGTATTCGCCAGGGATCGTTGGGATGAATAATATAAAGGCGAATGATTATTGCAATGTGGTTTTACAGGTGAGATATCTTTGATATTCTGAATTTTCTAGATATTCTTTGTTTCCTCTGCATTATGGTACTCTTCATTTTTTAGGCTCTGTCCCATGTCAGTCCACTCCGAGATTTTTTCTTGAGAGAATCCAACTATTCCAAAGTTAAAAGACCACCTGGTGATTCGTCATACCTTCTCGTCCAACGATTTGGGGAATTGATGAGGAAATTATGGAATCCACGTAATTTCAAGGCCCATGTGAGTCCTCACGAGATGCTCCAGGCTGTGGTTTTGTGGAGTAAAAAGAGATTCCAGTTCACAGAACAAGGTTCTTAATGATGATTCAACTTTGAAAATTTTACATTAAATGTTAATGCATCTGCAATTTTGTATTTATCAATGATTTCAGGAGATCCTGTTGATTTTCTATCGTGGTTTCTCAATGCTCTCCATCTCGCACTGAATGGCAGCAAAAAACCCAATTCAAGTATTATTTACAAGACGTTCTTAGGTCACATGAGGATATACACTCGAAAGATTCCACCCCTTGAACTTGAGGAGAGCCAGAGAAGTGAGTTATTGAATACTATTGAATATGGTGAGACTGTCACAGAGAGTCCATTTTTGTATTTAACTTGTGATTTGCCACCTCCACCATTATTCAAGGATCAATTCACGGAGAATATAATTCCTCAGGTGAGTAATCCTCAATTCTCAGTCAATTTCAAACCGAAGTTGAGTTTATATTTTTCATTTTTATTCGTCAATTGCAGGTGAATCTTTACACACTCCTGAATAAATTCAATGCAGTCACAGAGAAGGAGTACAAAACATACAAGGAGAACTTTATGAAACGATTTGAGATTACAGAACTGCCGCCTTATCTAATCCTGTATATAAAAGTAAGTAAATAATCTGCAAGTTTTGTACTCCAACAACTCATTCAGAGGAATGAATTTTAATTTTTATTCACAGAGATTCACGAAAAATACATTTTTCGTTGAGAAGAATCCAACAATTGTGAATTTTCCAGTCAAGTAAGTCTTACTTCATGGTACTTTGCCCCTATTAAGATTCCATTTAGTGAATTTTATTGAATTTCCATCATTTAGGAATGTCGATTTTGGGGATATATTGACGCCAGAAGTGAAAGAAAAGCACCCATGCTCTACGTACGATCTAATTGCCAACATTGTTCATGATGGCGAGCCTGGCCAGGGCACATACAGAGTCCACATTCTGCATAAAGCTACGGGACAGTGGTATGAACTGCAGGATCTCCATGTCACACCAATTTTACCTCAAATGATAACTCTTACTGAGGCATACATTCAGGTGAGTGGAATGACAAAACAAATCGATGGATCTATTTTTTTTTTCTGTGCATTTCATCAGAAAATGATGTAAAATTTAATTAGATTCACCGAACATTTCAAGCAATCATTGTCTCTATTACAGATCTATGAATTAAGAAAAGAGAATGGAGCAGCCACTAATCCACCTCAAGGAAAATCCACTACATGATAGGACCAAAGTTTTTTATGCATTCCCGGACATTTAGAGAAATCTAGTGTTCTGGATACATTTCTTATTTTGTTAAACTCAATTGCAAATAAATAATTATACAAGATAAAAAAGAATTATTGAATTTCTTATGTTTGCCGAAATGTGCATTATACGAATCAATTTGAGGAAATGCGAAAAATTGCCGGAGATATGAGTTCAAAAACATGAAAAAATCAATTGAGTGATAACTTTAATTCTCTCAAAAATCTCAAGGGATGGAGGTCAGTAGGTCTGCAGCAACCTTCCCCCACCTCCAGTACCCTCTCCCCAGCGTCTTTCCCCCAAACCCACGAAATCCACTAAAAACGGAAACAGTGGAACGTCTTCAACCTGCCCATGCAAACCAGTTGGAAATCCACCCTCCCTCAGTTTCCACTATTCCCCTCGTTCGTCCTCCCCCCACCGCCGCCCGAATACCACCGATTTTCAAAGGGTCCCAAGCCCAACTTCAAGTGGTTGAGAAATTTTACAGACACAAAACTGTTGTATATAGCACCGTGGCTACCAAGGTGTTGAAGTGGGGGTTTCGGCGACAAGTGGAGGGGAATAGCGTCGCGCCAAGCGTGTCCCAATGGACGGGGGACGATTGAAGTCAACGGTGAAGGCACATTTGCTTGCTTTTGCTTTATGACACTTTGGTGTATCCATTTGCATGTTTATTCCTAACCAACAATACCCAACCCAATGTATATTCACACTGTTATAATTTTCGATGTTGTCCCCATGACTGAGTGTTTTTAGTGAGTGTAACTGCAAGTGTATTCATGACAATTCAATAATTCGTATGAAATTGGATTAACGTAAATCACCAAGGGAAGGCCTTCCTGCTAAAGTATACGCTGTGAGTACCGTATGTAGACACGTGCATGAAATAACTGTTATGAATTTTCAATTTATCCGTGTGAAATCCTATGGGATGAAATAACGGTAAGAATGTCAGGTATGTCGTTATCACCGAGGAAATGTGGAGCCTCTTTTAACGGCTGGGTGACACATTTTTCGGAGATTTCACCTTACGTTTCCCTTTCTATCATTACAAAATACATTACACTTGTCGTTACTCTCTGAATCATCTCCTAATATCGCCTTTTCCCGAGACTTCTGCATGCTTTTCAATTCATAAATTCATGGTTTATCACCGAGTTATGCGGGAAAAATGAACAGAGGGAGCGGAAAAAGGTATGAATACCCCGCTATTTATAGAAATACGCAGGTGGAAGCCGAAAGCCATAAGAATGATGCCACAAGCTGAGAAAAGACGCTTTAATTTCACCAATCTACCGATCTATATAAACGCATCTGCGAGTCAAAAAATCCTGACCTCTTCTCTTAAGGGAGAAATATTCTGGGCTACGAAAATAGATATTGAGCGGTTTCACAGGGTTGCGAGTCGATCTGTCATGACTGAATTTCCCGAATGTCTAAATATTTGTCATCATCACGCACATCACAGACGCGTGAAATTCATTTGACAAGGACTTCGCGCGCTTATTAACCATCTTTCAGGCGAATAATTGGTGTGAAACCCCAAATTTAATGCTATATTTGAAGATTTCCCCCATTTTTTCCAAAGAAAATGTGACTCTTGTAGCATTCTGGGCAGTAATGATTTGGCATATAAATTGACAATTTTTCTAAGAAAAACTCGTTGTCTTTCAAACAAAGCCAGCCATTTCTTCACTCATTTTCCACATGTCTCGACATCCGTATGGGCGCATAACAGACGTATGTGAAGTGCTACTTTCCCACGTAGGTTCTGCAGATATAATCGAAAATCCATTGTACTAGACTATTTAAAGAAACTAGATCAAGAGGTAAATTTACCCGAATGAAATTAAAACTATTTTTCGATTGTCTAAAAGAGAATCGCCTCAACTATAGAATGAAAACTATAAAAAGGACGCGATTACAGCGGGAACGGCTAGCCTATCTAAGAATCTCCATAATTTTCCCCAGTTTCCTCTGTACACAGTACTCCACGGTGAGTCCATCCGTAATAACAATTTCCGGAACCAACAACTTCGCATAGATACGTTTGTACACGGAGGGAGTATAAAATTAAAATTACACTGTGAACATTACATATTTTAACCGAATTTTTAGCCGTGACAAATGAAATTTTACTTCTTTCCTACCACTTTCTACTATACTGACTCGCAATTTTACCATGTTCAACAGTAAAAAATAATTATAGATTTTTTTCAGTTTATGAAATTGACGCGCTATGAAAAAAAAAGATATTTAAAAAATGTTTACAATGTATTTAAGAAGATATGCATTAAAATGAATAGGGTGGATAGAAAATTAAATCAACCAATACAGTAAAATTCGAGAAAAGGATAATGTCAAAATAAAAGCGCCACTAACTTGAGAGAAAATATTCAGATCGGAAGAGACGAATGCGTACCCGATGGAATGCATTCTCAGGGGGAAAATAGACATTCACGACAATATGATAGATCAAATGATATAGTTGCGAGGTTTTGTGAGAAAAATTCATCAGGGTAACTAGTGCACAGGCCATGAAGCGGGCGTAAATGCGTTGTACGTTACATCCTCATTAAAAACGCAGGTTTGCCCTCCGACGTAATTTATATGTGAGTGGATATGTTATACTTTTTTGCGGCTATTCTATTAATTGTACTTTGCTCCGTTGACTGAATAGAACCAGTGAATTATATCATGCATAAATGCGCACATATTTTGACAATATAGAGCTGATATTCACCGAAAATCATAGTAAAAAATTTGATAAAAGAGAAAAAAAATTGATGAGAATTTTTAATCATAGAAATTCGTTAGTCCAACCGTTTTTTCTAGAATGACGAATGAGTGTCCGGGTTGTAAATATTGGGAAGGGAGAAGACGCCTCGAGGATATTGTAGCAGGTGCGTGCCAGTACTTGGCGTCGCAACTGCAGCCCTCGCTCGGGTAACAGAAAAAAAAACGAACGGCAGCATTATTTCACTGGTGATATTTCGTTCGTTTACAATTTTATTTCCCTCTTGATCTCATCTTTTTTCGTATTTTCATTGCATTCACATCATTGTATCCTCATTTCTCACCCGCAGATAGTATAACAAATTAATGACCAAATCATTTAATTTTTACGTCAAGTTAATTCTCTACTTTCCCTTTGTTTCAGGTAAAATAGCAGAATCATTCCAACGGAATATTCGTAATAAAGGGAATACTTAATTCACACTGCTCCAATGATGGAAGCGTCAGGTCTCTGTAATAGAATAGGCCGTTAGAAGAATAACGGCTGACAATGGTTGAAAAGAAGAAGCTGGTTCAATGTCATCGAAGTACGTTGCACTACCTACACATCATGGCAAGATAGTCGAGTGAATAGTATGACGGGCTATTCAGATCCACATTTTGTTAGGGCACTCTCCCGTGATCCAGACAGGCGGACACTTCAGGTGAGGAAAAAAAAAATCAATTATGTTGTGACCTCGGTCAGTTATTGAACATGAAGGGTCTATAACAGATGCATTCCGCATGGAGAACGTCAAAAGATTGTTTGACATGATTCGATTCATCGATAGAATTTGAAAGTAAAAAAAAAAATGAAAAAAGGCTATCAAGAACGGAAAATCATTATCATGAAGCATTCAACAATGACAAGATCGACCCCAAATGCTCTAGTTAACGACATTAAGGTCTTCGATCAGTGACTCATCCCAGATGGGAATAAAAATCATGTGATGTAATTGTTTTGCAGGATCTTCAGATCATTTACTACGGATTACTCGGATTGGAAGCATTACGACCATGCAGAGACTCACTTCTCCGTGAACTCTGCAAGATTGTTAGATATGAGAGGCACCACGCGAATCATGTATTATATTAGTAAGTACTGGCCAATGTTCAGAGTAATAGACGATTTCCGTGTAACATACTTGAAGAATGTGACGCAGCGTTCTTTTGATACTTTGAAAAGAGCTTGTCCTCATTTTATTGAACTGATGAATATCTTCGGGCATTGGACCACTTTGTCAATTTAAATATTCCGGATAGGAATTGTTGTCTTGATAATGAATGAATCATCAAATTAGAGGCCGTCAATTGTATTTATTTAATTCTTTTGGAGATTTATTTCGTTGTTGAAAATTTTTTACTGGCATTCCTGGGACACTTGGAAATTTTTATTACGTTATAGTTTTTCGGAAATTTCAGGGAATACGGGTAAGTGGGGCAAAATCGACGATTTTTCCTTTTTTTTTTGATATGTCAGTGGTTCATTGAATTGTTAAAGAAATGAACGTTTGCATACAGTCGAAAGTGTCCATTTCGCCCGAGTGGGAAGTTTACATTTTTGTTCAGTCATTCGATGAAACTTAATAGAAATTGAGAAAATGTAAATAAATATATTCTTAAATTTCCAATTAACTGAATATGGTACTGAATATGTTAGAGAATTCGTATCTTTCTACTGTTAAAAAATTTGGAATCTTATTAAATCTCAAATTCCATGATTTTTCCCACAAAATATCGCTCTCCTATTACTGTTCAACTGCCCATGGAATTTCAATTCTTTTCTAGATGCAGTGACTGAAAACATTTGCCTTGGATAGAAAATAGTACGAATGTTAACATTCCATCACAATTTCATCACTCTTGAATACCGAATGAAACATCTCCAAAGATTAACTGCATTTTTTTCTCAATGAGATTAAAATTTTTTGTATACGCCCAAGATATCATGTTTTTCTCCCATTGTACGATGGTATTGTGAAACACTCCATGAAATTCTATTCTAGCACCGGTGAATTGGCAACGAGTTGGTACATCCTCCTTTCCGGTTCAGTTTTCATCGATGGATCAATGTTTTTGCCTCGCTCAAGGTAAGAATAATTAATGCCAATATACCCCGGTAATATCAGTTACTCTCGCGTCCACGGACCATTAAATATATCCACAGTGTGCAAACACGTATAACACTAATTCTCTCTCGATTTCAAACTCCATTTGCATTCAGCTTCCACCACTGCCACATTATAAATATAATGCAGTCATT